GGGAGAGAGAGAGAGAGAGAGAGATAGAGAGAGAGCGAGAGAAGGAGAGAAAGAGAGAGAGAGAAGGAGAGAGTGAGAGAGAGAGGGAGAGAGAGAGGGGGTAGTAAGAGAGGGAAAGAGAGGGAAGGGAGTGAAGAAACACTTGAACTTCCCTGGACTTGCTTCTTTAAACTAACATTTTCATTCTCTTCCGACAAAAGACAGCACAGCCATAAAACGCCACGGAAGGCAGAAAGAATAATGGTTTCCTTTAATATGTGTGAATATACAATTAACAGATCTGATAACACCGTTATTAAATGTGCTGATGATCTATCCATCTTTTGGACCATTTAAATTTCAACGAAAAGGTAATTCTAAAAAAATAGCATTTCGCTACCTTAGAATTGCAAGTTCTGTTTGATATTTTTTGTCGTTTTGAGTAAAAAAGACCAAGAGGCCACAAACCAAGTGTTCTATCTGCTTTATCAAAATCGTCAGATTATATATTTGGAGTCAGCATCAGGATATTGAAAGAATTGCATTCGAACAAGCTTGACGTGTAAAAATTAACATTTTTCACGTGAAATATCTCAAAACTAGACACTGAGCAGATATAACTTTGTTACTCTAGGGTACAGATTTGTTAAAAAACCTGAACAGATTGAACAAATTATACATTATCAGATCATATCAATAGCGATTTGACGAAACGTTTTGAAGTGTGCTTTGGGCATAAGGTCGGAGACAGCTGTTTACACGATAATATCACAACGACTGCGTAAACTACAGTTAATAGATAGCACCGTCATTGAATTTGCTGATTGCTTGGGTGTTTGTTTGAATAGAAGCACATCGACACAATAACAATCATTTAGAGTGCTGGGAAAAGGTTAGACAGACAGACACACAGATACAACAGAGGGAAAGTAAAAAAGTGGGACCTACAAGGTGCACCCTCCAACCACATGCAATTTGATGATGATCTATCCATCTTAGGAACCATATCCATTGCAGTGGAAAGGTAACAATAATAATACAGAACATATTTTAAATATCCCAATTTCCAACTGAACAGCAAGCTCTATACGTTATTATTACCCCCAGAAGACCTATAGCATTCAGAAACAATCTCAACTTCCTGGGAAGCAAACAGTGCAAAGGTACTTGAAAGAAGTAAATTTGTTTTTTAAATGTTGTGGTATAACTATCTAAAAGTAAATGTGAGCAAAACAAAGAGATGATTTAAAAAATATATTATTTTAAACGTTCGGACGAAAATGATCCAGCTTTAGAAATAAATGACTGACGAGACTGTAGATCACCCATGCATACATCACTATAGACAATAAGCTGAACATAAACGAACACACTGACATTGTTATAAATAGGGTACCTTTTTTTAAATTAAAGAAAAATAAAGTCGCTCAATACAGACAGAAATCTAATGAGAACTTTCTACAGGGCAACATTAAAAAAGCTTAATCACTTTTGGAATTTCATCTTATGGTGGTGATAATCATAAGAAAAACGATACAGCTGTGCATTTCCTTTCTATTTTTTAAAAAGCCCAAATTAATACGCATAATAGTTAAAGAGAAGTCATATTTTCAAATTACCTGACAAGTGTATTTGTAAAATATTATAGTGGGTGGTTGGCGGGTGCTCTAGCGTGGTTTGCTCCTTCTTTCCCACTGAACATCTAGCATCCTTATCTCCCCTTCTTCTTTTTTATGTTTGTTACTCACTTGTAACTCCTCTAATCTTCTGGCGCTCATATGACCGTATGCAGTAGCAAGCGCCGTAAAACCTCTACTAAAACTAGACTAAAGAATATTATAATCTATATAATAATATAATTGCGTAGATGCGGATGGTTGTTTTCTATAGCCGAAAAAAACTACGGAATGTAGAACCATGAAAAAATGACAAAAGGTAACACAAAGACCAATGTAGGTTTCTATCAGTTCTGTAAGTGCTTGCATTCGCCTAATTGTTTTTTAGAAAAATAGAAAACACTATCGGCCGTTTATGATTTTCGAGTTCGTCATTTCAATGCAGTGTTCAAGATATTTCATTTTCCATGATATAAAAATTGCTCTTCCGCTGGAAATAAACAAATCTTCTTTGGGCATCTGCAGTTGAGATGTTGCAGATCACTTACAGAGAGTTACGTTTCTGTGGTAGTTAGACTTAGAAGATATATATTTGTGATAGATCTAGATTTAGATCTAGAGATACTATGCAACCAAACGGCAGGTCTGATTATGACTGGCACCTGTGCTGTGGCTAAGTCTGTGATAGATTTAAATGTAGAGGCTGTGTTGTCTCCCTGTGGCTAGGAGACGAAGAAAGTATATCAGGTGTGTGTGTGTGTGTGTGTGTGTGTGTGTGTGTGTGTGTGTGTGTGTGTGTGTGTGTGTGTGTGTGTGTGTGTGTGTGTGTGTGTGTGTGTGTTAGATATATCTAGATCTAGATGAGAATAAAATCACTATGCCACCTAAACGGCGAGCCATTGGATGAATGACACCTTTGATTAAAAGACAAAAGCAGAGTAGATCTAGATCTAGATCAGGTGTGAACTCAGAAAATACACAGGGAGAAGAAGAACATGTAGTAAACGAAAAGGCAGAAGAAGGTCAACCTGCTACTGATAATCTCAGTAGAAACCTTTCTACCTTTACATACAATGATGCTGATCTAAGTCTTGACAATACTTGCTCTATTGGACAAATAATAATTGTGTGCAATCGTTGTAATGCTACAACGTTTCAAGGAGAAACAAGAAGTATTTGCTGTGGGAAAGGGAAACATAAACTGGATCCATACACACATCTGCCACCAGAAATTAAACATCTGTTTATTGGTAATTCCCCAGACTCGGGGCATTTTTTAAGCAACATCAGAAAGTATAATTGTTCATATCAAATGACATCATTTGGATGTCAAAAGATCCTTTTGTAAGGCTGGAACCCAAATTTCCGTGTGCAAGAGCAGGCCTATCACTTGGTTGGCTCATTACTTCCAACAGAACATGGAAATGAACAGTTTTTGTAGGTTTATGTTTTAGACTCCGAGGACCAAATAAATTCAAGAATGACAATGACACATGACTGCAGTCTTAAACGAAATGTAATCAATATGTTACAAGACAGTCTACAAACACACAGCAGATATGTCAAAGAAATAAAGGCTGAATATCAATATGCAACTCAAAATGGACTTCAAAATTTCTACCTATATCAATTCATGAAAATGCTAGACCACTCGGTGAGTACGAGAGACGTTACAATGCACTGCCCTGTGAAGAAGTTGCTATTCTTATGCAAAAATGAACCAGTTAGGCATCGTGATATTCTAATCTGTTACAAACCCCCCCCCCCCCCAGCTAAAACGAATCTGTGAACTGCACCCAGCATACGATCCACTGCAATACCCCTTACTATTCCCAACAGGAAATGTCTGATGGAGTCTAACTGTGAAAATGAACAAAAAAGTGACTGCAGTTCTATTAATTCTTTCTTTTCACAAGACAAGGAAACTATCTTCTCTTAGCAAGGCGTTTTTATTGAGGATGTTTAAGCAAAAAATTGAAAGTGAATGATTACAGTTTCTCAGGCGAGAGCAGGTTTCATTGAGAGCCGACAACTACAGAGAGCTACTTGACGCTGGATTTTTTTTTTCAGCTGACGGTGGTTTAAGAAATAGTTAGTTTAGTTTTAGTAGAGATTTTATGGCGCTCGCACAGCATAAGGTTATATGAG